TAAATATTCATAAATGAAGTAGTTAATGGTGGGATTACCATTATCCTTTTTGGAGTGACGAATCTTGTATGTGTTCCTAAGAAAAGGAATTTGTCCATTTTTCGGGGTCTCAAAGGGGCGTGGAAACACATAAGAACTCTTGAATGGAAATGGAAACGAGATGTAACTCCAGTTCCTTCGGAATCGGCAGTCAATCCTATTTCCGATAGGGGACAAAAGAAACAACTTGATAGACTTTACATGATTTTTCAAGTGTATTTAAAGAACTCTTTCTTAAAAATAGGATTAATCTAATCTACACCATCAGCATAAAGATTTTTTTTTTATTTATTTAGGTGCAGGCTATATTTGTTAAAAATGAATTCCAAATTTGAATAAAATTTACGTGCCATGCATCTTAATAGTGTGAAATGGATTTACACTGACAATGTTTAGAAAGAATAATCCAAAGTTAAAACCTAGTAGTGTTGAACGATTCAACTACGAAGTAGAGATTGAATTTGGGACGATTAGAGCACTAGCTTTTGGCTTGGTCTCCATTAATCTGTCACAGTGACATTGTTCAGTATTGTAAGCAACCTCGAATTTTCCACTCCCGTGAAAATCCATAAAAGACGTATAGGATTCTGGTTACAGACCATTCAGCTGATGGTTCCCGTCCAGGCACTTCGTTGTTCCACCTGCAATGTTGCATGCTTTGTTTGCTTAGCTTCCGTGCCACACTCACTAGCCCCGTCACTTTCCGTGCGTCTTCCTGTGATCCTAGTACTACATACAATCCAAACAGTACTACCGGTAGCATTTACGGAACCCATCTGAATTTCACGCTTAACACTCTATCTTCGAATGCTTCCCGGACAGACAACAACGGTTTCTACAAGATTAGTACCGGCGACGACCCTTCTAACACGGTCTATGGCCTCTTTCTCTGTCGAGGCGATGTGAACACTGATGTTTGTGAAGAATGTGTAGCAAATGCCAGCATACAAGTATTTAAGGATTGCCTGAATCGAAAGGTTGCTATGGTTTTGTATGATGAGTGCTTGTTATATTTTTCTAACCAGCCAATCTTCCCCGACGTTGATAGGTTTCATTCCTATTTGATTATGTGGAATCCACACAACATCTCTGAACCGGACCGGAACAACTTCATAATGGTATTGGGAAAACTGGTCTATAACGCTGTAGATCAGGCAGCAAATAGTACCCGGGGCAAAAACGTTGCAGTTCAAGATGACGACTATTCCTCGGATAGATTGTATACCCTTGTGCAGTGCACACCAGATCTATCTGGTGATGAATGCAAAAAATGCCTCAACAGAGCTATCCGGAATCTAGATGTCGCGAATCTCCCCATCGCAGGTAATGATACTAGAGGAGGAAGGATAGTCTTTCCAATCTGTAATATTAGGTACGAGTTCTACCGCTTCTATAATACGGTATCCTCTCCACCATCGCCTCCGCCGCCAAACTCTCCGGGGGGTCCTCCTCCCAGTTCCACCAAAGGTAAGTTCTGGAGCCTTGCTATGGCCATATATTTTTGGTGTTGAATGCAAGCTTGATTCTTACGATTTCTTGCATGTAATAAATTCTAGGTCGACAATGAAAAGGACTAAATCCACACACCTTCTTTTAAATCCATATATATTTAAGCATTTAAAATTGGAAATAATGGTATTGAAGTTTGTACAATATGTGGATAGAGGATAAGAGCCGTGGATTCATTCTCAAATGAAAATTTACACCTAAAGGAGACCACCATGTAACTTAATACAATAGTTGAATACGTGATATTAAGATTAATTTCAGCATAATCATGTCATACTAGTCACATTCACCATCGTTTGTCATTTATGGAAAAATTTTAAGTGGACTCATAATTCTTAGGACAGTAATTGTGTACATATTTAGCCCTCTTGCAGCCATTTAGACAGTAATTAACAATTGAATATATTTTGAAATAACAGTATGGTGGCCAATGTAGAATCCCCTTAGGTATGATGGTTTTGTGTGCAAAAATGGGTTGGGCTTCTCTCCGTTACGTTTTTCTTTGGTTATTTAGCCGGTTATTTAATATATGGTTTTAAAACTCATATTATTGTGTTATTATTATGTTTTGATTGGTTGATCAACATACATAAAGAGAGTCTATTTGAGAAAGTTTTTGCATTCAATTTGCAAGAAACATTTAAATAGTATACAAGACTTTAACATCACGGAAAATTTTCTAACGATTAATCAAACAGCAAAAGTTTGTTAATCTAAATTTAAATGTTGTGTATAATTAAAATGGTTAATGATGTATAATGTGGATAGTATTTATTTGCAAATTTTTTCAAAATGAAATTATTATTCTAACCTTTTTTTAAATGATTTTGATCTAGTGGTTAAGGTTAAAACCTCGCGACATCGAAGTCCTGGGATTAAATTCTCCTTCTCCCTCCCTACTTTTTCAATTTCACTCCTTCTCTGCTAAAAAAAGTTAAAAAAAAAGAATCCATTTTAATTTTCCCAAATTTAGACAAAGACATTGAAGAATATCGAGGATGTATTTTATGAATGTAAAAGATTTTGTTTATAGTGCAATATTTTTTTGGCTACTTTGAAATCTGATATTGACATAGATAAATTTAATTTTACCCCTCTCTGGTGTAACATTTTACCTTGCAATGCCTTGTGGTTTCAAATTGCAATTTTACCTTACTTTAGTTGCACGTGATATTGTAAGGTCGAGCCATTAAGTTCTTCTGTGTTGTGGCAAATCTAGTTGTCAAGGCCAAAAATAATCTTTAAGGATTATAGTGGGATAAATTTCATATTTTAGGAAATAAAGCATCCAAAATTTAAATTTAAGGACTAAAGTGAAAGTGCGTTTATAGTTAAAGGTCCAAAATAAAAATTGATAAAGAAGAAATATACAAAACAAATGTTAGCAATGAAATCAATCAAATACCATATTATCCTCTTTCAACTTGGCTTAACCCAATAAAAAAGCAATCTAATTAACTAGAAAGCATAAGAGGGAGTAATCTGATATATTTTCAAAAGCATAAGGAGATCATGAGGGTGAAGCACTAAATCATCGATAGTGAAAGTAATTATTAAAATTCACACTAATCAAATGGTTAATTACATTTATCTCGCAATTGATCTTTTTTCCTACTTCTGCCTCACCTTTTATTGTATTGCCTTGTACCATTCGTCACCATTCTATTTTAATCCTTTTATTTTTCTTGAGTTCCAATGATGATTAATAGGTTAATGAAAAATCAAAATATATCAACTAAAAACCAATATTTGCTAGAGAAACAAAAAATATATTAGAAAATTCATAAAAATCTAATTTTTAATTAAATTTTGGCTTTTTAGTCAATTACAATTTTTTTACATTGTTGGTGGTTGCTGGAATTCTAAGAAAAAAAAAGGATTAAAGTAGGATATTCATAAAGGATACATGACAATATAACGAAACATAAGACAGCGAATGAAATAGAAGGTAGTACGGAAGATTTTTCGTGCATTTATCTCCCATGACATTTGGCCAAATTACAAATTAGATTTTAAAGTTTGACCACGGTACTAAACAATCCTGAGCGCTGATAAACCTTATGACAAGAAACCCCTTCCGTTCGTACCGATTAATCTCCACTAACAGCTTAAACTTGCCTGGTCAACAAAAAGACATGCCAAGTGTCCGGAAATACCAGTCAATGTATGAACATTGTCCTATTTACAACGGGTTAATTACATGTACACCCCTTGTAGTTTGACCAAGTAACAACTACACCCCCTGTGAGGTTAGAAAAAAGCAATCATCGTCTTTGTCTGAATCGATGTCATACGATGTTAAATACGTCATTTTGGGACTAAAATGCCTTAAACTAAACAAATGAAAAATAGGGTAAATTATATATAACCTCCTTGTGATTTTGTTTATTACCACATGACTCTCATAATATTTTAAAATGCCCGTTTCATCTCATAATAATTTTATATAATGTGGAAACTTGATGAAAAATAGCTTATATAACATCGTTAATTGAAATACTAATGGTAACCTAACTTAAATATTAAATCAATTGATAGCTTAACTATCTTATATAAAAGTATAGGGAGATTACTTAGATAAATGCAAAAATCATAGGAGGATAAAATAAATATTTATACAAACCATAAGGGGCTTACATGAAGATTAAGATTTTATCACACATACTTTTAGAGTGTGATTAGTATAAAAGGTGTAACTGATGGTGAACTCTGTTCATTTTTTCCTTTATATAAAACCATACGGTACGTGTCTATTTTGAAACCTTAAAGGGGGGGGGGTTATATAACATTATGTAAAATCACAAGAGAATTATAAATAATTTACCCTAAAAAATCATGACAACTAAAACATTAAATATAAAAAGAAACACCATAATCCATTTTTACAAAAAAAAAGGGAAAAATGGCAAATGTTATGCGATTCCATTTTTGGCATCTTTCACCAGATCACGTTATATCATAGCAATCCTCAATCTCCATTAAAAGCCCTATTCCAGAAGAAGTCCTACCAACAACCTCCCTCCTTAGTGCCAGCAAGAAACCCTTTCTACTCGGTGCCACCACCAATCTCCACCAAACGCTAGTCTACTGTCAGGCTCCGGGCTAGCACCGCCACAATGGCTTCAATAGTCACCGGAAAGTTAACAGAACGAGAGGGAAGAGAGAAAGATAGGTAGAGGGAGAGAGAGAGGGAAATAACAGAAAGAGGGAAAAATTGGAATTTGTTGGTTTCAGACAAATAAGATCCTAACTGCCTATTACAATCATCAGGTGGGTTATTTATGCAATTAAGCTTTAACCGTCTTTATTCACTACTAATTGTCACTTAGTTGAACGACACCGTTTCTGGCATCTGTGCCCTGCGCCCATCAAACGCTACGTATTGTGAATAAAACGACAATAGCTAACTTCTGAGTTCCTGACAATCCCTCCCCCTTAAGCAAAGCTTGTCCTCAAGCTTGGAATGCTGGAAACTGTTTGTCGATGAAGTCCTTGTCTTCCCAAGAGGCCTCGGATTCTGGTAGCTGATCCCACTTTACTAAGTACTGGATGACCACTATAGAGTTACGCCTGATAGCTCTTCTTCTCAAGACTGCCTCAGGTTGAAGTAAGCATTGGTCAGAGGAGTCCCAAGCAGGCAACATAGGGTCAGTGCCCTGAGCATCTCCAATCCTTCTCTTTAACAGCGAAACATGAAACACTGGATGAACCTTAGTTCCATCAGGTAACCGCAACCTATAGGCCACTGCCCCTACATTGGCAATGATCTGGAAAGGTCCATAGTATTTTGCTGTGAGCTTCAAACTCCTTCGAAGAGCCACCGTTTGTTGTCTATAAGGTTGTAGTTTAAGAAACACCCAATCCCCCACTTGGAGTGTACGTTCCGACCTATGTCTGTCAGCAAAGAGTTTCATGCGGTTCTGTGCCTTTGCCAAATTCTCCTTGATGAGCGAAATGACCTGGAGCCTATCCTGCACCAGGTCAGTTGCAGCTGGGATAACACTGTCGTGGAAAGGCCCCAATGGAATGTGGTTGGGCTTGTATCCATACAATGCCTCAAATGGAGTAATTTGTAAGCTGGTGTGGAAGTTGGTGTTGTACCAAAGCTCAGCTGTGGGTAGCCATCTACTCCATTGAGAGGGGTGTTCACTGCACATACACCTAAGATATGTTTCCAAGCATTGGTTCACGCGCTCACTCTGACCATCAGACTGGGGATGGTAGGATGAGCTATAATGCAGGCCAACTCCCAACAGATGGAACAACTCTTGCCAAAACCTGCTAACAAAAATTCTATCCCTATCTGAAATCACAGATTCTGGTAATCCATGAAGCCTATAAATCTGGTCAAGGAAGACCTGGGCTATCTGTTGCGCAGTGAAAGGATGTGTGAGACGAATGAAGTGACTGAATTTTGTCAGTCGATCCACCACTACCAAGATAGTGTCACAACCATGAGATAGGGGCAGCTGCTCAATGAAATCCATGGATATGTGGGACCATGCCTGTTGTGGAACTGGGATAGGTTGCAAAAGTCCAGGATAGGGAACATTCTCATGCTTGTTCCTTTGGCATACATCACAAGACCTGACAAAAGTGACAACATCCTGCTTGAGTCCCGGCCAATAAAATAAAGTTTGTATCCTGTGTAGACATCCCCTTTGGCCCGAATGCCCCCCTACTGCTGAGTCATGTAGAGCCTTGATCACCTTGCCACGAATACCATTAGCAGATCCCACATATAGTCTATCTTTAAACTTGAGCATTCCCTTATCCAAGTGATAGTCTGATACTGCATTGGGGTCTAACAGGAGCTGAGCTATCTTCTGCTGAGCTTCATTATCCCTCTCATAGCTTGCAACCAACTCCTGCATCCATGTTGGTTGGACTGAGGAAATTGCACACATGGTACAATTTACTGCTATGTCCCCCTGAAGGCCTTCGAACTTCCTCCTGGATAGCGCATCTGCCACCCCATTGTCAGCTCCTTTTTTGTACTAGATTTCGTAGTCCAGTCCAAGTAATTTGGTGAGCCATTTATGTTGCAGGGGGTGCGTGAGCTTCTGCTCCAGCAAGTGTTTGAGAGCTTGGTGGTCAGTTTTGATGACAAAATGATGGCCCACCAAGTAGTGTTTCCATTTGGTCACGGCTAGCACCAGAGCAAATAGCTCCTTCTCATAAACAGATAACCCCAAGTTCTGGCTGGATAGAGCTTTGCTGAGGAAAGCTATAGGGTGTCCATGTTGCATTAACACTGCTCCAATCCCTACTCCACAAGCATCAGTCTCTATGACAAAAGGAATTTCAAAATCTGGCATACTGAGTACTGGAGCTGTGGTCATGGCTCTTTTGAGGTCTTCAAAAGCCATCTGAGCATGATGGTTCCACCCAAAACTCTCCTTCTTCAGTAGCTGAGTTAAAGGCTTGCAAATCACACCATACCCCTTTATAAATCTTCTGTAATATCCAGTCAGCCCCAAGAATCCCCTTAATTCCTTAACTGAGTTAGGAGTGGGCCAAGACAGGATACATCCCACCTTATCTGGGTCCATGTTGACCCCAACCTCAGAAATCACATGCCCCAAATACTCCATGGATGTCTGAGCAAAAGAGCATTTTGACTTTTTACAGTATAACTGGTTATCCGCTAAGATTTGGAATACAATTTTTAGGTGTTGTGCATGTGACTCTAGAGTGGGACTGTAGACCAAGATGTCATCAAAAAATACCAATACAAATTTTCTCAGGAATGGCTGGAAAATCCTATTCATCAAAGCCTGAAATGTGGCTGGTGCGTTTGTTAGGCCAAAAGGCATTACTAGAAATTCAAAGTGCCCATGGTGTGTTTGGAAAGCAGTCTTGGGAGTGTCTGCTACCTTAACCCTCAACTGATGGTACCCAGCCCTGAGGTCCAACTTAGACATATATCTGGTGCCATGTAACTCATCTAGCAATTCATCAATATTGGGGATGGGAAATCTATCCTTGACAGTCACCTCATTGAGCTTCCTGTAGTCTATACATAGTCTCCAAGTGCCATCTTTTTTTTAACCAACAAGACAGGGGAAGCAAAAGGACTAGTACTGTGTTTAACAATTCCATTCGTAAGCATTTCTGCAACCTGCTTCTCAATCTCTGCTTTATGGGAGTGGGGATACCTGTAAGGCTTGAGTTTAAATGGTTCTGCCCCTGGTTTGAGAGGGATTTGGTGATCCAGCTCCCTTTCTGGAGGTAGTCCCGTTGGAGTAGCAAATATCTGTGGAAACTGCTGTAAAACCTGTTCCACCAACTCTGGGATGTCCTTCTGAAGGTCTTTGGTGGAGTTCGCCTGCAGGTGTGCACAGCTTTTCTTTCTTTCTTGGATGAAGGATCTGAGGTCCCTTCCCCTCACCAGCTCCATCGTAGGTTGATTTATGAACCCTTGGAGGTGAAGTAATTGCCCTCGATCACTGAGTGCGATACTGAGAGTGTGGAAGTCAAAGGTGATTGGACTGAACTGACACATCCAGTCAACCCCCAGGATGATATCCCAACCTCCTAGTTCCATTATCTTCATGTCAAACTGAAATTGGTAGTCTTGTATCCTCCAAGCTACCTTAGGACAGGCTGTCCCACTGGTGATGTCTGCCCCATTGGCTAAAGTCACAATAAAAGGATTCACAGATTGATAAGGTAAATGCAGTAAGGTAACAATTCTATGGTTGATGAAACTGTCAGAACTCCCGGTGTCCACTAGTATTTTGATTGGTAAGCCACCTATACTGCCAATTAGCATGATGGACTTCCTCTGAATGGCACCAGACAAGGCATTCAGTGATACTTCAGCCGTCTCCCCAACTCTGCCAGTAAACTCATCCTGTTCCCCCACTGCATCCTCAAAATCAGTCTCCTCTTCCTCTTCCACACTAACGCAATTCAGACCTCTTGTCCTGCACTGATGTCCCAACCCAAACTTCTCTCCACACCTGTAGCACAGGTTGTTTTTGCGCCTGTACTGTAGCTCTTCTGCTGAAAGTCTTCCTACCTCCTTGTGTGCAACTTCAGTCCTTCTAGTGTTAGGAGTTATCGCAGGAAGCCTGTAAGAATTAGGTAGATTCTGTCCACCAGGTTGCCCCTTGTACATCCCAAACTTAGGCTCCATGGCAATCTTGCCAGAATTTTTGGTCTGCTTACATTGCACCTCCAGTGCATACTCCTGCAACTCTGCTACTTCAAATGCTTTGGTCAATGTCTGTGGTCTAAACATCTTTACCATGGGCTTGATCTCCTCTTTTAACCCACTGATAAAGCTGGAAACAAAATAGGACTCATCTAATCTGGGGTTCTTGGTTAACATCAGAGTTTTTAATTCCTCAAATTTTTCCTCATACTCCTCCACTGTCCCCACTTGTTGCAGCTTGTTAAATTCTTCTACGATGTCAAGCGATCCCTTGCCAGAGAAACGCTCACATAGCAACTCGCTAAACTCTTCCCAATTTAGCCCAGGTTTAGCTAATTTCACCCCTTGGAACCAATTATCGGCTTTACCTTCTAAGAACATCTCCACTAAATCTACTTTCTGGCAAGCAGGTATGTGGTAGTTCAAAAAATATTTATGACATTTCCTAAGCCATTCCCTTGGATTTCCTGCTGTAAACATCGGCAAATCTAATCTAGGTAAATTGGGAGTGAACATCCTACCTCTGGACTCCTGCTGATGGCCGGCCATTTCAGCCTGAGTCGCCAGTCGGAAATGCGAGGGTGGTGTAGGTAGAAGAGGTTCGGAAGGTCCTCCTTCGTTCTCCTGGACTCCCTTGTCCTTCATCATCACTTTCATTAACGCGTTGAACTTTTGCTCCAACTTGCAGAATTTCTGGTCCAGATTCCCCACCACCGACTCCAGTCTCGAGTTGCTCTTCTCCATTTCCTCATGGAGTCTCTGCTGTAGCTCATTCTGCGCCGACGTATGCAGAGCAGCCATGGATTCGGCCAATTCCTGGAGCTTACTCTCCTGTTTCTTCAGCTGATCCTCCAAGGATCGGTATCTCGTGCCTTCCGCCATGGCAGTTCTTCTTCCTCAGTAGCCAAGGATCGGCTGCTCTGATACCAACTGTCAGGCTCCGGGCTAGCACCGCCACAATGGCTTCAATATTCACCGGAAAGTTAACAGAACGAGAGGGAAGAGAGAAAGATAGGTAGAGGGAGAGAGAGAGGGAAATAACAGAAAGAGGGAAAAATTGGAATTTGTTGGTTTCAGACAAATAAGATCCTAACTGCCTATTACAATCATCCGGTGGGTTATTTATGCAATTAAGCTTTAACCGTCTTTATTCACTACTAATTGTCACTTAGTTGAACGACACCGTTTCTGGCATCTGTGCCCTGCGCCCATCAAACGCTACGTATTGTGAATAAAACGACAATAGCTAACTTCTGAGTTCCTGACATCTACCCATTAAATCCTTGAGCCCCGACTTCCAACTTCCACCATCACTAGCTCCTCATCCCTTGGGATCACTAAACCCACCCCAAAATTCCAAGTTAAATCAGGATAAGAAGGAAAAAATCAATCAAATGCACACTTTTCTTGCTTCCAAAACCCTAACTTAATTCACAGCAGCCACCCTTGCCGTCTCCAATTAGCTATCAAACATCAAAAAATGAGCCGAGTGATCCACAATTAAACTCTAAATCACAAACCAAGATAGCCAAATCCGCAAACCTCCAAATCATTATACTCGAATATCATCATAAACTCAAGTATCCAAATATCCAAGTCATCTATCTCCTTATGAACAATGCAAGCACAAATTCCTCAATAAGAATTGCGCTATAAAATTCCACCATTGTCTTTGATGTTCTAGATGGAGAAGAGAGACTTAAGGTGGACAGTCGTGTTATGTGATAGTACTTCCTAGCAATTTTATGGGCAAGAAGGGTGATATATGCCAATGAATCATATGGCTACTGAAGGGTTTATGCAATTCTTCTCAATGGGATTCTTGTGTCTCTCATCTTTTAATGATCTGAATGGCCAATCTACTATGTTAAATGGACATTGTAAAGAATTGAGTTTGTGTTCGCTTGTATATACTTTTGACCAAGAAATACAATCCTATCATTTTTACAAAAAAAAAAAAAAAAGAATGGCCGTAGTGTCGGGGAAACTGGGTAATTTCCAACTCAACTGATTCAACTAGTGATTAAACCGATTCAATAATTCCCAGGAAAGATCGTTAAAACAATCTCCTTAGACAGAATTACCATTCCAAATAAATTTTCAGGAAAGGCTGGAGGGGTCACAAGCGGTCCCACTTGAAACCCAGTCTCCTAGACAGAATTTACGTGCACGGTGTATTATCACAACTAGACTCGTGTATACGTAAATAATACGTACACACGAATAATAAAATACACCCACATGAATCGTATAAAACACTACAAATAAACCCGACAAATATATATTGAATACTATACTATAATAGAAAAGAAACTACTAAACAAATGCGGAATAAATAAAAAGAGATAAGGAAAGAACGTACCCGAAAATTGATAACGGAGTTCGGCCAATTTTGCCTACTCTCCGAACACCATTCAAGCAGCCTGCTCTAATAATTTAGGAGAAGAAATAATTACAAAAGAATTACAAAATTATTTTTGGGTAATTCTTTTGTTTTTTGTACAATTGAATTGAGGAGAAGGAGTGGTTATTTATAGCTAACAATCATCTCCCTTCAAAGCCAAACCACCGATGTGGAATAAGAAAATTTTGCCAAACAAATCAACAATTATTGGCTTGAGATAGTCAATAATGTTGGCTTTGAATTCAATAAATCTCCACCTTGACATAATTTCTAATCCTATCCAAAAATACAAATCTTCTCACCCAAAAATAACAAGCGATTCTTGTGGTGCTTCCAAATTTGCGCCCTCAGGTGCCAACTCAAATATGCAGGATATTGACCAAGTCTAAACAATGTTCAAACTTGGACCTTGTAACCACCTTGGTCAGCATATCTGCAGGATTCTCCGTAGTCCGAAACTTCTGGAGAAAAATCTCCTCTTCTTCGAGAATTTCCCACACAAAGTGATAGCTAACATCAATGCGCTTCGTTCTTGTGTGTAAGACCTGGTTCTTTGCTAAGTGAATAGCACTCTGATTGTCACAAAACACGTCAATGTGTTTTTGACCAACTCCCAAGTCTTCAAGTAATCCTTGAAGCCAAATTGCCTCCTTTACAGCTTCTGTAATCGCCATATACTCTGCCTCCGTTGTAGACAAAGCCATCGTTGACTACAAAATAGACTTCCAACTAACTGACGCCTTAGCAAATGTGAACAAGTAGCTAGTTGTAGAACGTCGCTTATCCAAATCACCTGCATAGTCAGAGTCACAATATCCAACTACACATTGACAAAGTGATTTATCCTGCTCAAATACTAATCCAATATCTACAGTATTTTGGATATACCATACAATCCATTTCACAGCTTGCCAATGACCCTTGCCCGGATCATGCATAAATCAGCTTACCACACCAACTGCCTGTGAAATGTTGGGTCTCGTACACACCATTGCATACATCAAGTTACCAACTGCATTAGCATACGAGACTTTCGCCATGTATGCTCGCTCTTCATCTGTTTTTGGAGATAATAGGCTATTAAGTTTCAAATGAGGAGCAAGTGGAGTACTTACAGGTTTTGAATCTTCATTCATGCCAAAACGTTGTAGTACTTTCTTCAAATACTGCTTTTGTGTCAGACAAAACTTGCCTCTCGTTCTATCCCTGCTTATCTCCATGCCGAGAATCTTCGTAGCTTCTCCCAAATCCTTCATCTCGAACTCTTTACTCAACTGAGCCTTCATTTTGTCAATTTCAACTTGGCTCTTTGACGCTATCAGCATATCATCAACGTATAAGAGTAAGTAGATGTAGAAATCATCTCGTAACTTGCGCAAATACACACAGTGATCGTATTTGCTTCTTGTGTACTTTTGGCCCATCATGAACTGGTCAAATCGTTTGTACCATTGTCTCGGTGATTGTTTCAATCCGTACAACGATTTGCTCAACTTACAAACCCAATTTTCTTTATCAGCAACTTTAAATCCATCTGGTTGAGACATATAGATTTCCTCTTTCAAGTCACCGTGAAGGAACGCGGTCTTCACATCAAGTTGATCTAACTCTAAATTCAACTGCGCTACCAAGGCCAACAAAATTCTAATAGAGGAATGTTTAACAACAGGAGAAAATACCTCATTATAATCAACTCCCTCCTTTCGAGCGTAGCCTTTAGCCACCAATCTTGCCTTGTAGCGAACATCAATCTTGTCAGGAAATCCTTCTTTCTTTGCAAATATCCATTTGCATCCAATTGCCTTCTTGCCCTTCGGTAGTTGTGTCAACTTCCACGTCTTGTTCTTCTGAAGAGATTGCATCTCTTTTTCCATAGCATCTTTCCATCTATCATTTTCTATACTTCGAATTGCTTCAGAAAATGTGGATGGAACATCATCAATAACTGGAAGTGCATAGGCCACCATGTCAACAAAACGAGTAGGTTTATGAATTTCTCGTCTTGCCCTATTGACGGCAATTGACTCTTACTGCTGTTGAGGTTCTTGGGTTGAAACCTCTTCCTCATCTGACTCCTCTTCTGCCATGGGAGAGTCACTGATGGTGCTGTTTGCTGTACTCACCATTATTTGCTCAAACTTCACCTGTTTCAGCGTACACTCCACCTGTTGCGGAGTACCACTGGTTCCATCTTGTATTACCTTATTCAACATGGCAGATTCGTCAAAGGTAACATCCCTGCTGAAAATGATTTTCTTTGTTTCTAGACACCACAACCGATATCTCTTAACTCCAGCATTAAGGCCCATAAAGAGAGCTTTCTTTGCACATGGATCCAATTTTAATTCATTTACATGATAATATGCACTAGAACAAAAAATACGCAAAGAATTATAATCTGTTGCAGGTTTTCCAGACCATACCTCTAATGGAGTCTTGCTACCAATTGTAGATGATGGCAAGCGATTGACGAGATGTTGAGCGTATGTCACAGCCTCAGCCCAAAACTTTCTGCCTAACCTAGCATTGGACAGCATGCAACGTACTTTCTCCACTAGTTTCTTGTTTATACGCTCTGACACCCCATTCTGCTGCGGTGTTTTTCTAACTGTGAAGTGCCGAACTATGCCACATTCTTGGCATATCTTCTGGAAGGGATCACTCTTGTATTCTCCACCATTGTCTGTTCGAAGGATCTTGATCTTTCTTCCCGTCTAGTTTTCAACCTGAACTTTCTATTTAAGGAAAATCCCTAACACCTCATCCTTGCTCTTCATAGTAAACACCCAAACTCTTCTGGAAAAATCATCAATAAAAGTGACAAAATAATACTTGCCACCAAGGGATGGAGTTTTGGCAGGTCCCCACACATCTGAGTGCACATAATCCAAAATACCCTTGGTATTATGGATACCAGTGCCAAATTTCACTCTTCTTTGTTTTTCCAGAACACAATGCTCACAAAATTCTAATTTGCAAACTTTCGTACCTTTCAATAATCCTTGTTTGGCAAGATTTTGCAAGGATTTTTCACCAGCATGTCCCAATCGCATGTGCCACAACTTTGTTGCCTCTGCATCCTTCTTGCTACTGGAAGATGTTGCTGCTGCTACTGTCCCAACAACTGTACTACCTTGGTAGTAATACAGATTATTCTTCCTCACACCTTTCAACATCACAAGTACTCCCGAAGTTACTTTAAAAATTCTATCTCGCATCTTTACTTCCAGGCCTTTTGACTCCAAAAGTCCCAAAGAGATGAGATTCCTTTTCAAATTTGACACGTACCGAACACCCTTCAGGATTCTGGTAGATCCATCATGGTTACGCAGTTCGATTGAACCTATCCCAATTGTTTTACATGGATTGTCATTTCCCATGTACACAACTCCACCATCAAGTTCTTCAAATTCAAAGAACCACTCCCGCATAGAAGACATATGATAGGTACAAGTTGAATCCAAAATCCACTCATCTGGATGGGATGTTACAGGTGATACCGCCAAAGAGAAATCTGATTCCGCATCACTTTTGCATTCTGCAACATTTACGTCTTATGGAGCTTTCCCTTTTTTCTTCAACTTTGGACAGTCTTTCTTCCAATGCCCTTTCTCACGACAGAAAGCACACTCATCTTTGGCAACTCTGCTTTTCGATTTGGACCTTCCTCTTCTCCCCTTTGATTGGCTTTGTTGACGACCTCTTTGCCACTAACACTTCATTTGCTGTAGCTACTTTATTCTTCATTTTATCCTACTTTCTCAATTCATGACTATACAAAGCAGAACATACAGCATCTAAAGGCATATTTTCCTTCCCATGAAGTAACGTAGTTTCCAAATGTTCAAATTCATCAGGAAGGGATGACAACAATATCAAAGCCAAATCTTCATCTTCAAAATTTACATCTAAATTTAACAGGTCTGCTACTAACTGATTAAACATAGTGATGTGTTCATTCAAAGTAGTACCTGGTTGGTAATCGAATCGGAACAATCTTTTCTTCATTAGGAGTTTATTCTGACCACTCTTCTTCAGAAATTTCTCCTCCAATGCCCTCCACAATTTTCATGCATAAGTCTCGTTCTTGAAAGCATATTTTTGCTCTCTGGACAAACACAATCAAATAGTTCCGCATGCCAACCGATTTATGGTACTCCACTCCTTCTCTTCTATGTCATCTGGTTTCTTTTCTTCAATGGCAATGTCAAGACCCTGTTGAAAAAGGAAATCCATGACCTCACCTTGCCACATGCTGAAATGGCCAGTACCGTCAAATGTCTCCACCGCCAACTTCAAACTTGACATTGGAATTCTCGACCATGTTGACGAGGAAGCCGATGCCCCAGATATAATTCTTGACGTGGAATTGTCTGATGCCATTACAGACTCAAATAATAGTATTCAATATAAATAATTACAAACAGGCCAAAGGATGAACCTTCGACTTTGATACCACTTGTTAGGGAAACCGGGTAATTTCCCACTCAACTGATTCAACTAGTGATTAAACCGATTCAGTAATTCCCAGGAAAGATCGTTAAAACAATCTTCTTAGACAGAATTACCATTCCAAGTAAATTTCCAGAAAAAACTGGAGAGGTCACAAGTGGTCCCACTTAAAATCCAGTCTTCTAGACAGAATTTACGTACACGATATATTATCATAACTAGACCCGTGTATTCATAAATAATACGTACACACGAATAATAAAATACACCCAAATGAATCGTATAAAACATTACAAATAAACCCGACAAATATATATTGAATACTATACTACAATAGAAAAGAAACTACTAAACAAATGCGGAATAAATAAAAAGAGATAAGGAAAGAACGCACCCGAAAATTGATAATGGAGCTCGGCCAATTTTGCTTACTCTCTGAACACCATTCAAGCAGCCTGCTCTTATAATTTAGGAGAAGAAATAATTACAAAAGAATTACAAAATCCTTTTTGGATAATTCTTTTGTTTTTGGTACAATTGAATTGAGGAGAAGGATTGCTTATTTATAGCTAACAATCACCTCCCTTCAAAGCCAAACCACTGATGTGGGATAAGAAAATTTTGCCAAACAAATCAACAATTGTTGGCTTGAGATAGTCAATAATGTTGGCTTTGAATTCAAATGTTGGCTTTGAATTCAACACGTAGGTTTTGGATTTGGGGATTTGGAGGCGGTGGAGATAAGAAATGGTGGTGATGAAGAGATCGATGTTCCATGAATTTTATGATTTTTCTTGGCAGTAGCTCTTTTTGTTAGAATTCCTCAAAGGGCAAGAATAAAACATAAAAACTGGGAAAATTCTATGTTACAATATCTACAAGAGTGAATCTTATAGATATTACCAGTGTATACATTATTACAATTGGATGGATGGCACGTGTTATATATTTAATAATGATACTGTATACACTGGCAGTATATATAATAATGATAATGGCAATTTGATATTTCCACACACATTCTTAATGGACAGGAGGAAAACGGATGCTAGATTTTTGATGGTGAGGAAGTGCTTGTTATACAAATTTCATATCAAAGAGGATGATAGTCATTTTTTCAAACCTCAAGGGACGTAGTCATTGTGCAGATTGATTGTTACGGGGTATAGATGCTATTGGGTAAGTATATCATTCTAGAATCACTGGAGTACATAAATAGGATTCTAGATGAGTCACTTGCTAACTAACTTATTTACTTGACTTGCCATCTGATTAATTAATTTAGCACATTACTCAATAGATACAATATTTGCCTCACTTGTCACCATAGGGCCTCTAGAGTCCAAGCTGCAAAAACTAACCAAATAACTCATCTACTTGACTTGCCATCTAACCAATTAATTTATCACATTACTCAACTGATGCAATATTTACCTCACTAGTCACCGTAGGGCCTCTAGAGTACAATCTCCAGAAAGTTGCAAACTTTACTTAACACGACCCATCTGAACATTGACTGGGCTTTAGCCGTTTAGCGCACAATTTTAGACTATCAAACTATGCTGTACATTAAGTTTTCAAAATCTACATTGCGTTTCATTCTTTAACACATATAAAAATATGTGGAAAAAAAGAAGAATAAATAAACAAATACTTAACAATTTATTAACACAAAACCTAATAATAACAATATCAAGTCATAACCTTTCATTTATGACAACTCATAAATATCAACTATGAGATTTTCCTTCAAAGCCACTCTCAAGATTCATCTCAACTCAAAGCTCTCTTCTAATAACAATGTACTAGACTAGTAGCATTTATAGACTACCAAACTTGTTAAACAAACACAATTGCAAACCGAAATTTATTTGGAATTGACTTAAGATTTTCTAAACTAATATGGAAACTAAATAAACAAGACACCAAAATAAGAAACTAAAAGAATTAGAAAACTCAATACTAAGATAACTTGGTTTAATTTCCTTCATTTTTTTTTGTCAAAATGTTAGATTGTATTTCATCACAAAACGTTAGATTGTATTTTTTTTTAATTTCCTTCATGTATGCATGTATTTATGCATAGGGCATGTATGTATGAGTACGAAGCAAGGTAAAAGTTAGAATGGCGAGAATGACTTGGTAATACGAGATCTCAAGGGAATCGAATAGGAGTAGATACATTAAAATGAGGTGGTGCTAATGATGGTCGTGGTGGCAGTTGTAATAGACCTGAAATGGAGTTAGTACGTCGGAACAAGGGGTGCTAGTAGCGATGGGAGTTCTTATATAGTCAATGGTGAACGAAGAGCTCTGCTGTCTACTTGTTTGAGTTTAAATAAAAAATAAAAATAAGGTTTGAGAGGAAGAGGGCGCTTTCTTCTTTTTCATCTTTCGTCGTTTTATTTCACTTTCTCCACACCGTTGGTTTGTTATCTTATATTTCTTTCTTCTAGTAATGGTGCATCTTCCTTTTCATTATCTTAATATTTGTTCTCTACTCTTTTTCCCTTTATCTTGTTCTATTTTGATACTTTTTTTTTCTGGAAGAAAACACCTTTTTGGTAATTTGACTTCTTGCTTTTCTAAATTTAGTAATTAATTATCTTCGGCTCATTTTACTAGAAGTTCTTGGGCCTAAAATTGCTGTCCCATTCGTCTGGTTTCTATTTTCAATCTTTTAAAATAGGGCATTTTTGTCATTTGATTATATCTAATGGTTGGGTCTTGACAGCCTCATTTACAAGTGGTCCAAACACAGAGCTAAGTTTCTAAATTTTTGAAACTGCAGGAGAGTTTAATTTTATTAAACCATAATAAAAATAGTTAGTATGTTAGGGTTTTCATTTTTATTTTTTATGCAACAGAGAGGTGGGATTTAAGAAATAGAAAGGAAGTCAAGAAGGGGGATCTTTTTGAATCTCTATTTTTTTCTTGTAAAAGAAAGGTAGGATTTAAGAAGCACCAAAGCAAGGAGAGAAAATGAGAGATCAAAACGCAAGATCTATAAATCTTGAAATCTCAACTTTAATCATTAGAATTAGAAAAAAATCATTAACCACTAGAATTTGACCTCCTCGACAGTTAGTACGTTATTATTGAAACGTGATTGTTAAAAACTTTTTTTTTTTTTGTTTACCATCGACATGAAATATCCGTCACAAAAAGGTGGTGAAACACTTTTAAAAGAATGTTTGAAAGAGTATTTTTTCGAATAACGTGTTTTTGCATAGCTTTCCTTCTATGTAATATATAGGATATCTCGGAGTGACACTAACCCGAAGTTCATCAAACTTGATCTCCTATAAGCTGACTTTTGAAGCTAAATTAAGCTTCCTTTCATCCAGGCAAAGGGCGAAGCGTCTCACAAGCAGCTTTAATTGATATCTCACTGATTGGGGTTGCTATTGTGCTATTAATCATTGCTATGGTTTTCCTGAAAAGAAGATCGCGGAGGAGTTATGTTGCGATGGGCCTGATACCAACTGGTAAAGTTTATTGATTAATATTGCGGGCACTTCAGAAGTGTATGAACAAATAAAACAAGTGCATTTGCTTATTTCTGGTGTAGATGGTGTTGGATATTTTAATAAAAAAGATCATTATTATTTTGAATTCATTCACATGCTTATTTTGAATTCAAATACAATGAGTTACAAATTTTGAAATGAATTTTCAGTTACAAAATGACCATTAAAAATGTAACTTATGAGTTACAAATTTTGAAATGAATTTTCAGTTACAAGATCACCATTAAAAATGTAACTTATGAGATTTATGTCTTGTTTTTGTAACCTATGTGATGATTAGGTTTTAAGAATTGATTTATTAAATTTTGACTATTATACAATGGCTTAGACCTTTTCAAATTTTGTAACTGAAAAATATGACACATTTATTCCATTTAATGGTGGTATTTTAATACTCCTAAAATTCTAGCCTATAAATAGAGGCCACTATCAACCAAGTTTTAGACACTTTCCTTGCTATCTCAAAAAACTATCTTCCTCTCACTTCTATTGGGCATTAGTTAGGTGTTGAGAAGAGCTTTAGTTTCTCTAAATTGTGTAGATTTAGTAGAAGCAACAGCATAGGCTGGGCTGTTGTATCCCAGAGGCGACGTGTCATCAACCTCCTACACCGGGCATAATCTCGAGAGGGGCGTGAATCGTCTTAAGAGAGCGACCTAGTCCGCGTCTCACCTAGTCAAAATTACTTTACTTCTCTTTCTTTGTCTTTTGTTTTGCAGGTTGATCGGGCATATCAAGTTCTAAAGGGGCAACAGATGGAGTTGCTGAAATCTCAATGGCCGAATCTTTACAGTATAGCTTAACTGAAATTCAAATTGCCACAAATAACTTCTCTGTGGATAACAAAATTGGCGAAGGTGGATTTGGTCGTGTATACAAGGTCTCTGCATGAAATATTTAATTTGCTTTTGTGACTTTGAATATCTACACGTTTAACCTTTTAATCAAATTCTAATATGCCTGTTCACTCAGGGTGTACTTGGTAATGGACAAGAAGTAGCGGTTAAGAGGCTATCAAGGAGCTCAGGGCAAGGTGCAGAAGAATTTAAAAATGAAATTCTAGTAGTCGCAAAGCTTCAACATAGGAATCTAGTTCGACTATTGGGATTTTGCTTGGAAGGGGAAGAAAGGATACTCATCTATGAATTTGTCCCCAACAAAAGCCTTGACTACTTCCTCTTTGGTGAGTTTGAAACTAGATATACTTGTGGTAATTTTGTTGTTCCATTTGATCTTGTTCTATTTCACTTGATTCGACCATGTTATGGAAATGACAGATAACAAATTGCTAGTAGACAAATGTTTAATTGGGGTGAATTCCACTTGTTTGATCCTTAAACCATAGATGCTTTCTAACTTTAGTTTTTAAACTTTAATTTTAGAAACTTTATCCCTAACATATCAGATTTGTAACACTTTAGTACAATCGCTAATACAATCATCAAAACTAATGGAATATTAGGCAAGTATTAATCAAAGTAGGACGAAATATTCCATTTACTTTGAGAATTCCATAAATAATTATACTAAAGTATTACCAATTGGACACTTCGAGGATTGACTGCCCGAAATTGAAGTTTTAAGAACTAAAGTAGGATCGTGTCCATAGTTTAAGAAACAAAAGTGTAATTTACCTATTTGATTGCGCTTTCTGGAACTATTGATGTAGTAATTCTCAATGCTAACACAAATGTGTTGAAATTTGTGTAGATCCAGAAAATAAGCGATCATTGAATTGGTCAAGACGTTACAATATCATAGGAGGTATAGCAAAAGGACTTCTTTATCTGCACGAGGATTCTCGTCTTAGAATTGTTCATCGTGACCTCAAAGCAAGCAATATATTGTTGGATGGAAATATGAGCCCAAAGATCGCAGATTTTGGCATGGCAAAGATTTGTGGAGTTGATCAATCTGAAGGAAACACAAATAGAATTGCTGGGACATTGTAAGTTTTGTGCCCATACTATCTTTTTATGACTTTGAATCTTTATAGAAAATTATCTACACTTCCATTTCAATGCCTCATTGCATTTATGTTAGTACTGTTTATAACAATCATTGTGGCTTGCAGTGGTTACATGGCTCCTAAATATATGAGACGGGGCCAGTTTTCGATAAAGTCAGATGTATTCAGTTTTGGGGTTGTTATTTTAGAAATGGTTACAGGCAAGAAAAATAGTAGTTTCCAACAATCTGAAGATTCTGAAGACCTCGTAAGCTATGTAAGTGCGAATTGCAAAACCTTTACTACTGTTTTTATTATTTTTCTGTGGTTTTGCACAATTGCAGTCATGGATTTGAACTTGGCACCCCTAATGGAAATATTTAGATGTCCAATGCGAATCTTCACCGTGTGACGCCCCCACTTCTCCATAAGGTGAATCAAAGGGTATCCACGGGACGCCTGACTAACTCTCGCCAGGACTCAAGTAATTCCATTCAACCTTATTACCGGACCACACAATACGAGTCAATAACTTAGATACAATAAATGCGAAAGCGTTCAAGTTTAATAAAAGTCATCCCTTATCCAACCCGCACATCGGGTGTTCAACAACCATCATAAATTCCAAATATACATCATGCCCCAAAAGTTATATTCAGATTTCGAAAATACAACCCAAAAGTCATGACATAGCCAAGAGTAATAGAAACCCTAAACAAAAGCGTATCAGGAAGAGTTCTTCAATACCTCGCCAAGTTCAATCCTGTTAAGGAAAACAAATCTACAGGGTGAGCAAAAACGCTCGTGAGGCCAAGAACACACATGCAGGCACATAGTTTAGGTAACAAGTCCAAATAACAATTCAAGTAATAGCTTGCAAGTAATTAATAACGCCAACAAAAATGTAACCAGAAACAATTCAAGGATATGGTAGCTTTCAGGAGCTAAGTTCCACATTTTGCCCATGTCATTCGTATATCTTCCCGTGATGACTCTCCGTCAACCGGGTTGATATTATCATATCCGTAGTTCACCACTTACTTCTCATCCGTCCACCATACACCGCTTCGGACCCGCACGACATTTATAAGGCGATACTTCATGAGTATGCCAAGCGAGATCTCTCAATAGATCAAGCTTATCATGTGAATCTCATGGCTCATCGAGGTTCCCGACCAATCCCATGCCGGCTCGAGTTCCAAGGTCGGCCTATGAGTTTGGGCGTCCCCCATGTATCATGTAAGTGTCGAGGAGATTCATTCCAACGACGTATGCAGTCATGGCATACTATGTCATGTATTCAAGCATTTGACAGGTTTAAACATGTATTTCAGGTCATGTAAACCAGGCAAAGCATGTTAGACATGAGTCATTTGTTTCAAATGAGAACGAGTGTGATTAAGTATACACTCAACTCCATATTTTTTTTTCCAAACCAAATAGGCTAAGCATGTAATCAGGTAAGTCAAGCATGAATCAAGTCTATAGAGTTCAAGTAGTCATACACTTGACACTCATCAAGATATGCAAGCAAGTAGGTTGGATTGAGAGTTCAAACTTTCACGGTAGGGTCCTCTTGGAGGTCCTCGTGCGTGCCTGAACATCGAATAGTAGACAATTTCTATAAGTCCCCAAGTGGCGAGAAAGATTGAACATGAGTAGGGTTCAGAAATATTCTAGAAAATTTCGTTTGAGTTTGTCTTTGAAGTTGGATTCGTAAAAAGGTGCAAGACTCGCGAAAAATTGGATTATTATCCTTAGAATCATTGGTTGGAAACGAGTACAAGCGAAATGATTGGAAAACGAACGATCGAAATCGTAAGTGGGCTGGCCACGTCACAATCCGGCCGGATTGGAGGCAGTAGCCATCCTCATTTTTTTCAAATCCCAACTACAATCCGGCCGCCTATCCGGCCAGAAACTGGCCGGATTCTAGAAAAATGCTTCCCGCGCGGATTTCTTTTGAAATTCCAGAATTTTCGATTTTTGGTAAAATCTTTGAAAAATCATAACTTCTTTTCTACTAGTCAAAAATTTATAAACTTGGTACCGTTGGAATCATTTTTGAAAGTACTAAATGTTCTTAGAAGACACTGTTCCATGAATCTAAATGGAAGGTATTCAAAAATGAGTTTAAAGTTGCTGTTCCAGATCACCCAGGATTGAGCCGGGGTTGATTTTTCGCTAACTTTGGAAATTCGGTAGAATTCACCCGTTGCAAACCAGCCCTTGAAGTTTATAGCTCAATTAGAGGTGCAAGTAAGGTTTAGGACAGAACAAGCGGATCGAGAATCGGAGTTTCGAGCACCAAGATATGGTAGCTCAAAGTTGGGAAAAATTCAAGACTGTTAAACAATTTTCCAGATTTGGATTTCCGACTTTGGACCTTTAGTTAAGTGTCGGAACGGACTTGGATTGGTACCAAATTTTTTAGTATGGTACTCCTATATGAAGGGTATTTCTCTATCAAATTTCGTGGAAAAATACCTTCGGTAAGGTGGTTAATCAATCAACCAAAGTTTTGAAATTACTAAGGCAAAACTGCCTTTAGCTCTATTTCTCCCCGTTTCCAAACATTCTGCTAAGGAAACCTCCAAACATGGTTCATTTGTGCAAGAAAAGTCTAAGGAGCCTACATGGTACATCTAGTAGGTGTTTAGCACCAAGAAATTCATTTAGTAAGATCACAACAAGTCTCACATCTAATCTGTCCAAATCTAAGAGTTTTCAAAAACGAGGCAGTCGTCGTATTTTGATCATAACTCACTCAATTTAGCTCAGAATTGGGAATGGTTGGTAGTTTTGGAAAATAGATTCATAGGGCTATAATTTCACAGAAGAAATCATTTTGAATTTCGGTACACAACTAGCTCGAAATCGAGTTTCAAGTCACAGCTTCTGTATTTCATTCTAGCAGAACAGAGAGACAGAACAGCTGAATTCAGAAGAGTGGTGCGGTTCACACACATGGAACCAGAACGTGCATTTTATACCGTTGGAAAGAGGGGGATGTCTAGTTTCAAATGCCGCACTTGATTTCAACGTCGGAACACGGAGTTATGGACGAAATACGAATACTGGTCTGGCCATGACGTGAACAGCTTCCAGATTACTAGCTTTGGGAATAAATTCATTTGACCAACCAAAACTCAACATTTTTCAATGAAAATTTTTACACAACTACTACAACATGTAAACAACACAATCAAGCCATTAAATCCTCAAATTTCTGCATTAAAGTGGCCGAACAAAGCAGGGGCAAAATGGTCAGATTTGGCCTTTGCACCCAACGTGAGTTTCCATCAATTTTCCATCAACAAACCACTAATTTAAACACTAATCCAGCATTATAAACATCATCAAGCACAAAATCAGCAACAACTCAAGATTGGGAGTTCATAGAGCCCACTTTTCCAATTTTTCCAACAATAACCACAACCCATATGCAAATTCAAGCTCATAAGTGTAATCCTACTCTTATAAACTAAGTTTAGAGTGTTAGATCACTATATACCTCCTTGGTGCTTAAGACCAGAATTTCGGCCCTCCTTGAAGCTCCAAGAAACCGTGAAAGCCCCTCCCTTTTGAAGCTCAAAGTGTTGTCCAAGTGAAGAGCTAAGTGTATGTGAAGTTTGGTGTGAATCTATGAAGGTTTGGTGGTGATTTTAGTGAGTTTTGTAGAGGTAATGTTGGAAAAGTTTTCAGTTGTTTCTCTGCAGCTGCTAGCCGACCATGGAGCTTGGTGAAATGACTTGATGGGTCTGACCCTTTGGCGTATAAGGAACGCTAATCGTCTAATAGTTTAAGTGCGGAGAAAATCAATTGCAAATAGTGCGCCTACGCGCGCATTTTGTGCTCGATTTCTCTTAAGTTTGTTGCACTAGTGCACTAAACCTCTAGGGCACCTATATTCATATAAATATTATTCATTCTTAATTGTCCCAAAATAATGGTCCAAAATCCCTCAATTAAGCGCGTACGTGAAAACACGTATTTCCAATTTAGGCGCGAAAAAATGAAACCTTCAAGAAATTCTTATAACGATCGTACTACTAACTATCACTTGAGTTTTTAAACCTAAAATTGCCTATTTTAGGACCATTGTATATGTCTCAAATTTTTGAGCTTATTGTACTCCCAATTGGCTAAAGTTTTTCAGACACATTTTCACTTTTCACTAATCAAGCTTTTAAGAAAAAAAATTCTTGAAATGAGACGCTTTAAAAATATAACGAAACTATAAAACCATGTACTTAGGTCTAATAAGGTTAGAAAATATTATTCGTGGCAAAAATTCAAATAAATAATTAATTAAACCAAAATTAGGGATTTTAAAAATAGTAGATTTTCGAGTCCTCACACACCGTCATGATGCCATTAGGCCTTATCATGCGTGCTTTGTTCGTAGTTACACACAGTAGAGTGGTTCAAAATTTTAGTAAAGAATAGTTTTTATGTGGTTCAAAATTCGTCCTTTGCTTCCTTTTCTTTTTACAAGTCATTTTAACTAATTTGACAGACCATATAAAAGGATGGAAAGTAAGGTTGCGATTTTAAACCTTTTGTGTGGTTAAACTTTGAATGTAGAGCATTTACTGATGCCTATTGGAAAGGTGGCATTGCTTGTGACACGCATGGTTGAGCAAATTAAATTGAAGTTTTTATGTTGAACTCCTTATAAGTTGAATTATTTCAAAAAGGTTTGGAAGCATTGGAGACGTGGCGAACCTTTAGCCTTTCTGGATTCAAGTATTGGAGATTCTTTTGCCGAAAATGAAGTCATTCAATGCATCCAATTAGGCTTACTATGTGTTGAAGAATATGTCAGTAAAAGACCTACAGTGGCTTCCGTGGTCAATATGCTCAATAATAGCTCTGTTACCCTACCAACTCCACGTCGTCCAGCAGTTTTCCGGTGCCATGAAACGGAAAGCATGGTGGAAGAGGTGGAAGTTGAGCAATCTAATACCGAAAGAATTTCAATTCCAAGCTCTGTAAATGAGGCAACAATTACTGAACCATACCCCAGATAGAGGAAGAAATAGGCCAACTCTGGTTGGGAATAACACCACGTTGTCGTGTTTGTTGCATGACTCATTTACCAGGAAGGTATCTTTCTCCACTAGTGTTGTAAATTAGCTTCTTCACAGTGATTGACTTCTCGCACCTTGAGGATTTAAGGATGTGCTTGAAAGAAAAATGCAAGTTGTTGTTGCACTTGAAATTTTTCTTTTTTCTTTTTTTCAAATAGACAACATGTCTTGAGCAAAGTTGGCTTTTATCATTTATATGTAGCAAAGATGGCTTCCTAACTGAGTCTGTCAATTATATTTTCCCTATTGTTGTCTCCTTTATCATAGTATCAGAGCAAGAATCATAGGGTCATTGTTTAAAATAATACTTTGGTATAAACTTAAACTAGAAACTGTGATGGGAATTATCTGAAATAGTGCGGGATAGTAGAAGTCTTCAACAGGAGTCAAATGCCTAGAACAAATGTTTCCTCCTCAAGTAACAAATTATGCTACCAATGATTCGTGGTCCCAAGTCTTTGAGCTGTATATTTTGGACAAAAACAAGTTGGAATATATAGTTGAAGTAGTAAAACTAAACATGTTTTGTAACAATTTACTCCACAACATCGGCAAAGCTTCTGCTGTGAATTGGTTCTTCGACGAGGCTTTTACTTCACACCAAATTTTAAAAGTCTAAAGATCCCATTTTGTGTAAGTATACAAATCATTTATTGAATACAGGGAATATTAGATGTCGATCCCACATGAAATATTGTCAACTACCGGTGTTATTCGAGCTTCTCTATTATTTAGATTATTACGAATAAAGCAAATAGATCTACACTAACAAGATGCAATACAAATAGTAAAAATAGACAAGCAAATATGTTTAGTGTTATGGAATTCCTATCTACTTATGCAAATAAAATAACCGATTAATTGAATTCATTATTTTTGTTAGTTATGACATAATTTTCAAATATATGTGATACATGCTATCGCTGATGTATTAACCGTATCTATAACTATCCCATACCTATTAACATGATATGAAACTAGCTATATATTGATTAAATTATATGAAATTACGTGGAACAAGCTATCAAAATCACAAATGTGTAACCCTACAATAGTGACACTACAAGAAAATTGGTCATCAGTGACAACTTTTCTCTGTGACGAAAAAAAGTTGTCACAAAAGTGGATCCTTTATTGATGACTTTCTAACTCGTCACAAACCTCTAATGGGAGCCAACTCATTTGTGACGACTTTTCTAAGTCGTCACTAGTAAATTCCCGCCAAGATTTAGCAAGAGCGCGGGAGTGTTTAGAACACACAATAGTGACGACATTAAGAACATCATCACTATTGCTTGGCCTATTTACGGACGACTTTTTGTTGTCGTCACTGATCACTAAAAAAAAAATTATTAGTGACAACATTTTGTAGTGATGACAATAAGTTGTCACAAAAGGAGTTTCTTTAGTCGCGACACCTAAAGTTGTCACAATTGCATCAAAACAACTAAATGTTTAGTGACAACCCGTTATTTTCGTCACAAATTACACTGCAAGAAATATGGTCATTAGTGACAACATTTTTTAGTAACGACAAAAGTCGTCACAAAACGTGGTTGTTTAGTGACGACAAGGAAAGTTGTCATAATTGCTCAAAGCAGCTAAGTCTTCAGTGACGACATTGAAAAAGTTGTCACTAAAATGATCTATATAGTGACAACTTCTAATATCGTCACTGTCACTCTACCGATTTGGATTTAGTGACAAGAATTAATCGTCACTGTTTAAAGTACTTATTTCTAAGTCACTTTCATTAATTCTACTGTGCCACCTAACTTTTGCGATTTAGCCCCAAATATTGTAAAAAATTCCATTAATTCCATTGTGATACCTTAACTTTTACAATTTAGCCTCATATGTAGTGCACCGATTTCTTTAATTCTATTATTACTCCCTAACTTTTGTAATTTAGCCCCATATGTAATTCACCAATTTCATTAATTCTACTATGGCACTCTAACTTTTGCAATTTAACCCCCATATGTAATATACCAATTTTATTATTTCTATTATGGCACCCTAGCTTTTACAATTTGGCCCCTATTTTTTTTTTAGGAAATTGCGAATGGTATCTTGATAAACTATGCATAAATATTTTATAATTTTCTCAAACTTAAGTAATAATTTGTTATAAACTCTAAAGATATATCTTTCATTACAATAGTTATAAGGCAGGCAGGTCTTTTTATCAATGGAATAAGAAATTTATGTCAGATTTATCCTTTGTACTACATGCCAAGTAGTATTAGCAAAGAAATAGCAAAGTACTACAAAGTAATTAACAAAATAGCCTTCAGGGAGTGTAGTTTATAGGCAAATGAGCATTATCTATTCAAAGTACCAACTTTTTATGGGCATTTTACTCTCAAACATATAATTTATGATAAATTTATAAATATTTGTAAGTAAAATTCAAAAAGTGTTACACTGATTTCTTACAAAACGAAAACTGGCAGGTTATCTTTTCAACATAAATTAAATTTTTTTAAAAAAAGAAATGGCCCATAAAGTACTAACTCTTTGTGGGTTTCCTCCATTACATGAACAAATATTCTACTCTTTATGGGCATTTCACTCTGAATCATTTAATTTATGTTAAATACATAAATGTTTGTAAGTAAAATTCAAAAAGTGTTGCACTAATATTTTTATGAAAGGGAAACTGGTAGGTTTTGTATTTAACATAAATTAAATATGTGAAAGCAAAAAAAAAAGAAATTACCCATAAATCTATGTCTTGCAAATCTATACTAGTAAAATAGTTTCAAACAAAATTAAACATTAAAATAAACTGTAATTTATACACATTAAAATATCTGTAATTTATACACATTTTGCAACTACTACTTTGTGTTTTCTCTGTAATGAATTTTTTAACTATTGAGAACTTAAGTTTTGTCTTGCAAATCTATACTAGTACAATAGTTTTAAACAAAATTAAACATTAAAATAAATGTTTGAAAAAGAACAAAAGTACATTTATCACTTGCAGTAATGTAACAAAATTTTCTCAACCATTATCAATATTTTCACAAAAGTATTAAAAACTAGCAATTGACAATATTAAAAACTAGCAATTTAATTAGTGACGACTTTTCTTGTCATTATAATCTTGAATAAATTAGTGATAACATTATGTCATCACTAAATTTTCTTTGATTTTGACTTAACAATAATGTCTTATTAATAGCATTTGATTATTTTTAATGAAAGTCTGTTATAACCATTGAATTTGACTTTCGTTATTTTCAATTAATGATGTACTTTAGTGCTGCAATTATAAAAAATTGCAGGGCTAAAATATTTGCAAATTATAAAAGTACATTTTCACTTATATGTAATTAACAAATTTTGCCACCTATATTGATGAAAATTTGTGTTTTTGTACTAAAAAATAAAGAATAATACTATAGCAATAAAATCTATGTTTCAAACCAAATTAAAAATAAAAAAAAAAGCATGACGATTGGTCTCAAATGTTGGAAAAATGATTATTTTTATTGAAACTATGTTATGACCATATAATTTGAGTTTAATTATTTTCAATTACATGATGTTCTTTAGTGCTGCAATTATAAGAAATTAGTATAAAATATTAGCAAATTATAAAAGTACATTTTCAATTATATGGAATTAACAAATTTTGCCACCTATGTTGATGAAAATTTTTATTTTTTGCTAAAAAATAAAGAATAATACTATAGCATTAAAATCTATGGTTCAAACCATATTACAAATCCAGAAAAAAAACATGATTTTTGGTATCAAATGGAGGGAAAATGAGTGAAGTCAAAATTTTGATCAAATCATAGTGAAAGTGCCGCGCAACAAAAACAATATCCAAAGCAAAGCAAAGACCAAAGCAGCGGAACACATTCTGAAAACAAAAGCAATGGAACACTTGGTCTGAGTTAAAGCAACGGAACACTTGAGCAACACAAACTTTCACCGAGCTGAAACAAACAAGCTTCTGTATTGAGCACAAAACAGAGCTTCCGCACGGCACCTGATACCTTCACCCACACAACAAATCCGTTCTCTGGCTTCTCACTAGCATCACCATGGCTGTCCAGCATTAAAGGGCAAGGGTTTCATTGGAAAGGTTCCTTTTTCTCTCTCTTATACATTTTCCCCAATTTTTCCAAATCCCTAATATTCTACAATATTTTTTGCAAATTTCTGCCCAAAATCTTTTAGCAGCTCTTGATTATTAGATGCTATCATAGCTCTCCTTTTTTTTTCCAATCTTTTGCCCCCTCTATTTATGTCGAGGAAGAAAAGGGGGACGTCGGCAGGGGAACGAAGGAAAAGACTAAAGTTTCATTTGGGGGCTGGTGATTGAGGAAGTGAAACCAGAAACAGAGAAAGGTCTTGGCCTAGAGGGGACACAAAGAAAATACAGAGCAACAGCCGCTCATCGGCCATCACAGCGCGCAATCTCCATAGCTGCCGTCACTCTGCTCTCATCCAATTTCCGCCGCCTCCAAGTTCCGCCACGGCACCTCCATTCGTGCGCCGCCTAGCTGCCTGACTCATCTCCCCTTCCCGCACGGCCTTTCTCTCTCACTGTCGCTCCTCGATTTCATGTTGCCACCCACCACTGGCGCCCAGCTCCAGCGCGGCTACCATGGCAGCTACAGCCGCCTGATCATTCGCACCTTCCTTCGACCATCACCATCGCCTGCAGACTTCGCCAAGCAAACGCTGTAAGCCGTCTGCCTTCTTTGAATTTTAGTTTTCCATTTTTAGTATGAACATTGAAAAATCTCAAAGCATGTTTGCCGTGCGTTTGTTCAGTGCCAACTTCATGTTGATTGCTAACGATTTTAGATTGTATGCTATTGTATGTTGTTTGGACTGAAATCTCTTGTGTTTTGACAAATTTTGAGGGGCTAATTACAGTCCCAATTGAGCAAAAATTACTGGATCCTTCTATGCCC